CCCGGCCGTTCTTGCTGTCCGGGGACTGGTGCTGCCACTTGTGCCAGGCTCGCTGCCGCTGCCGCTCCTGCAGCCTCAGGGCATTGCAGTAGGCGTCCAGGCTGGTGCCCGGTGCCCCCAGGGCCCGAGGGAAGCCCTTGGAGCCCGGGTGCAGGTCAATCCGGGGCCGGGGGCTCTGGTGAGTCCCTCCCGGCTCATCCCCCCTGCTCCGTTTGTACGGTGGCAGCTCCGCGGCCTCGTGTCTGATGATGCGGAGGCTGTAGCGGGTGAGGAGCCGGGAGAAGGAGCGTTCCACCGCCTGGCACTCGTAGGTGCCCATGTCCTCCCTCGCCAGCTGGCGGATCAGCAGCCCTTGCTCCAGCACCAAGAAATGCCCGTTGTTTCTGACCTGGGGCGAAGACAGAGCTCGTGGGTCAGTTCTGGGGAATAAAGCCCTCCCTGCTCCCCGTCCCTGCTCCCTGTCCCGTACCTCGCTCGGTGCTGTCTCCTCGCCGCGCCGCACCAGCCAGCGGGTCGTGATCTGCGGGGAGCGCGCCAGGCACTCGAGGAAAGTGGAGTTCTTCTCCACCCCAAAAACCACCTTCTCCAGCGCAGCAGTCCCTGTGCAGGGAAGGGGGTGAGCACCCTCAGTGGGGGCTGTGTGACCGGAGGGAAGGGAGGGAGCAGCCAGCCCGCGGTGTTGGCACTGGTTTCCCAGCGCGGTGCCCCCCGCCCTCCTGGGCACGGCGCTCCCCGGGCACAGCCCCCGCCGGAGCTGGCGCTCACCCTCGGCCGTGTCCTGGCACTGGCTGAGCGGGTCGGCTTTCAGCACGTCCTGGCAGCGGGCACGCCTGCGGGAGAGCAGAGAGGGCTGTGGCTGTCCCACCCCAGGCTGTGGCACCCCTCCGTGGCAATGCCTCAAGAAGGGGGCCAGGAAAGGGTGGGTGGCACGCAGGCAGAGTGGCAGTAGGGGTCTGGCTGATGGGACTCCAGGCTCCAGGGCTGCCCTTGCCCTTCCCTGCTGCCAACAGCATCACCTTGCAGGAGGATGCAGGGCTGGTGCGGGCACACGCTCACCTCTTCTCGGTGAGCAGGTGCGGGGCGCAGGTCTTGCCGTCCCAGGTGCAGTAGGGATCCCTGGCCAGGCAGCAGTCGGTGCAGGTTTTGCCGTAGAGCTCGCAGCGGTACAGGGAGAGCTGGAGCAGCCCGTGGGTGCTGCTCACAAACAGCTCCTGCTGCTCGGGCAAGCGGGACAGCGGCAGTCAGCGCCCACGGCTGGAGGCCGGGACTGGCAGGGAACAGAGCCCCTGCCCCGTGCTGGGGTGGGCACGCTGGGGGACAGTAGGGGTGGGAGACAGAGCCTGCCTCCCCCTTAATGCCCTGGCAGGATCCCATTCCCTAAATGTGCACCCCCTGGGGCCAAGGGACCCGGCAGAGTGGCTGGGACCAGCTGGCCTCTGTGCCTGTTCCCGGACTGCTTTAGGGAGAAGAAGGGACACTCACCCGCTTTGGTGATAACTTCATGTCCAGGATGGGAGAAGGTACCTGGAGGGGAAACAAGAGGGTGCTGCAGCCACATCAGTCCCTCCTGGGTGCCCCAAGGAGGATTGGTGTACCAAGTAGGATTGTGTGTCCCCAGGGGTTACAGGATGCCAGGCCCCTGGGCCAGGTCACAGCTCCACCTGCTCCATGCAAGGAGCCCTGGGCTGGCTCTGCCTGGTGTGGGCAGCCCAGGACAGCTCTCCCCAGCAGCTCTGCTTTCAAAGCTGGGCTCAGCCCTCCCATTTCAGCGTGGGCTCCAAAGTGCAACCCTCAAGCTCCCTCAGGGACTGGATGGGGAGCTGGAAGATGACATGGCTCCAGCCCCACTGGCACCTCTCGGTGCTTGTAACATTTTCAGCTGCCCAGGGCAGGTGGGAGCCCCCAGCAGTGAGGTGAGAACCTCCCTGAGAGGGCAGAGCCTGCAGGGAGGGTGCCACGGCCACGGGAGGGGAGGCTGTGCGATCCAACCATCTCGTTTCAGCCCCCCTCGGTGCCACCCCGGCTGCCCGTACCTTAGTGACGCTGATCTCCTCCAGGCTGATCACCTCGGGACCACGGCTCACCCCGCCGGCCAGGGCCACCTTCAGGACTTTGCCGTCATCTGGGAAGGCAGCGGGAGGAGGAGCTGTCAGGGTCGGGAGCCCCCCGGGCTGGAGGAACCCGAGTGCGACACAAGCTGCCCCGCGGTGGCAGCGTTCCGTGAGCTCCCACCTGTGCCGAGGAAGAGCAGGTCGTAGTGGCGGCTCTCGGTGTCCAGCCGGTGCACCAGCAGCCGCCGCAGCCGGTAGGGAACATTGACCCGGAGCAGCACGGGCTGCCGGCCCTGCGGGTACACGGGCTCCCACATCAGCTGGTGGCCGCGCATGAAGCTGATCAGCTCGTCGGGAAAGTCCTTGGTGGACTGCAGGAGGGGGTCGTACGTCTCACTGGGGCACTGTGTGACACAGGGGCTGCATTAGGGCCAGGCCAGCCTGTCCCGCTCCCCCTGCAGCTGCTCCCCATTCCCTTACCGTGCCGGGCCGGGGGTAGGGAACACGTCCCTTGTATTCCACCCAGCGGTAGTCGAATCCCTCCTTGTGCGCGAAGGGGCCGCTGAAGGCGGCTCTCACCGCAGCCATGGAGTAGATGCAGACGGCAGAGCCGCTGAAGACGCCGCTGTCGGGAAGCACAGGGCTCTCAGTGTCAGCTCCACGGGGACCAGGTGTATGCACACACACCCCGCTGAGCCCACGCTGTCCCCTGTGGGCCCTGGAGTGAGGCGGTGACAGGAATCCCTTTGACACAGCCAGCCCTGATGAGGGTCCTGCTTACCTGGAGACCGTGAAGAGCCCAAAGATAAGGGGGTTCTGCGGGTCCCGGGTGCGCAGGAGGAAAACATCCTCTGCAAAGAGAGGGGTGGAGGTGAGGCACCCCAGAGCTGGAGCACCCGTCCATCCAGGGGATGCAGGTGGGCATCCCGGGGGCGTGCTGGAGGGAACAGCCGCGGTGGAGTTGCCTTGCTCCCGGCTGCAGACAGGGCTGGGCACTCACCCAGTTGGTCAAAGTGGGTCTCAGTGCCCTGGGGCCCGGGGATGGAGCACACCAGGCGGGCCTTCAGGAACGTGCTCCAGCGGTTGATGAGGCTGCGCTTCCCTCCAACATCGTTCTGCCAGGCACCAAGAGCCAGGATCAGCCCAGCCTCTCTGAGTTTCCTCCAGTGCTGTGCCCCCCTCATTCCCACACCCCCAGCCCTGAGCCTTCTGCCCTGTGGTAGGTGTGCAGTGGCACCCTCACACTCCTCTGCTTGGGCTGCTCCTTGGTCCAAAGCAGGTAAAAGCCCACTTTTGGTGGGACAACAGGCCACAGGGTGCTGGCCTTGGAAACTGACCTTGCAGACCCTGGCCACCCTGGCGTGGATGTGCCGCCGCTCCCACTGCCCAGCTTCCACAGCCGTCTCACGGAAGAAGATGTAGACTTTATCATCGTGGGGGTTGTGGGTATCGGGGATGGCGTAGGCGCCAACAAATGTGGGCTCTGCGGAGGGAAGGAGCAATGTGGCCACAATGTGGCCCTGTGCCCTGATCCCACCCTGTGGTACAGCCCTGAAAGCCCTTGAGAACAGTGTGAGGTGCTGAGGGGACACTGAGCCCAGGAGGCAGAACACCATTCCCAGCGCTGAGGTTGTGGAACATGTGCTGGAGCATGGGTCTCACCAGGGGCTTCATCAGTGCTTCTCCCCAGCAAAGACAGAGGGCCCAGAGCAGTACTCTGGCCCCAGTGCTGGCCCCAGCCTCTCCCCAGCTGACAGGAGAGGCTCCCATTCCCCACAGGTCCCCCTGCTCCTACCGTGGAGCCAGTGGTCCTGGTTCTGCTCCGTGCGGATGTAGCTCTGCTCGGCCCCATGGACCCAGGTCCGGAAGAAGGCAGCGCTGCTGCCCATGAAGTCACTGGAGGTGCCTGAATACAGCTCCCCACCTGCAGGGTCAGGGGGGTGTGGGTGGGAAGCAGCACCTCCCAGCACAGATTATTCCCAGCGCTCCCCCTCCCACCATCCCCTGTTCTCCTCACTCACTCTTACCCATGAGGAGGCCTGTGAAGGGTTCATGGGGGCTGTACGGGCATCGTCCTCGCCCCGATTCCAGGGAGTGGCTCACCAGCTGCATGCGGGGAGCCCTGGCATCCTGCCAGAGCCAAGGGGGAGATGTCAGCCCAGGGGGAGCCTGGGAACAA